AAGTGTACCTCTGGTGCAAATTACTGACCTCTGTCATCATTTTAAGTGGGGGAACTTGCACAATCGGTGGCTGACTAAATACTTTTTTGCCCCACTGTAAGTGGAAACTAAGGAAACCAGAATAAGCAAAGAACCAAATTCTAAAGAACAAACAAACCAAGAACTGGGTGGAAAACCTAATAGTGTCGTGGTCCTGGGTCTTCGAGCTTGGTTCTGATGTGCTCGTTTCTTTGAAATTACAAAAGAGTTGTCTCTGTATATATTATTCTCTTGTGCTTCTGAGTTTAGTTATAGTCTCGTGTGTGTTATGTTCTGCTTTGCCTTCCTTGCTTTGTTAGCGGATTCTGCTCAGCTGTGTTCTCCAGGTGTTTCACCTTTACCCATATCTCATGGGTATTTAAGCCCTCTGTTTCCTTCTGTCACTTGTTGTGATCTTCCCATAGCTGTGTGCCCTGTCTATTTCTCAGTGTAGTTCTCTAGCTAATGTTCACCAGTATCTGCTTACTTAAGTTCTTTGCATTTTGGTTTCCTGCATGTCCAGGAATAAAGCTGCCTTTTGAGTTCAGTTCTGTTTCTGAGTCCTGCATATTGGGTCCAATTCTCTGCTCACTACAGAGTGTATCATAACAAATAATAAACAAAGATAAAATAATTTTTTTTAAACTCTCTGTCAGGACCATAACAATCACAAGGTGTGAATATATTTGAATAATTCTTTGCTCACTTTATTTCTTTCTTCATCCTCCAGTCTCCATCATGGAAGTGGAGTGTGTGCACGAAGGTTGCCAGTCAGAAACATTGCGGCAGATGGTTGGCTCAGTACCTGAAAACCAGTGTTTAACAGTGGTCTTCAAAGGGTCTCGTAAAAGCCTGGATCTCCTCTGCCAAAGCCAAGAAGAAGCTCAGTGCTGGGCCCGTGGCATCCGTACCCTGCAGGAGAGGATGGACAACATGACCCAGAAGGAGAAACTTGACCAATATCCTTGATTTTTGTGGGGGTGGACACACATCCCTGTTCATTTGCATTTATAGAAGCACTACTTTGTGTACATTTAATAATTGTTGACCACTGGGAACCAAGAGATCCAAACTAGAGAGTTAGCACTATAAGAGGTAACCACTGAAACCTCATGTTAAAATACACCATATGGCTCACCAGTGCTTCCTTGACAGTGTCACCTGGATTCATGCTTATATGAGTCGGGCTGACCGAAACCGCGACGACAAGATGAGCTACGATGAGGTCCAGATGCTGCTGCAGATGATCAATATTGACTTGAATGACCAGTATGCTCGCAGCCTCTTCCAGGTAGCAGAACACACTGCTTAATTTAAGTAATTAAAGTCAATCATTTAAATTAAAGCTAACTTTTAGGGGTTTGTAGCCATTCTGTCTGGAGTATTGATTTCCCCTGTTGGTGCGCAGTGGGGGTTTTTCAGTTTCCTTCACTGTCATATTTACATATTGTATACAAATGGTGATGACTTTATTTGGTTAGTACTCAGAGCTTGTGACCAGAGGAAAGGGTAGGAACGTAGACTCACCAGTAAATTGACACCTTCACATTTACGCTCAGCTCTCTCTTTATTACAGTGGACTGGCATGTAGTCTGTCTGTTGATCTCATATTCCGCACTCCTCTCACTTGTGAACAAAATCCTGAATGTCGTCCATAGACATTGCCTGATGAGTGCTAATGACTAAATAGAGTGCACCTGTGTGTAATCTAATGTCAGTACAAATACAGCTGCTCTGTGACGGCCTCAGAGGTTGTCTAAGAGAATATTGGGAGCAACAACACCATGAAGTCTAAAGAACACACCAGACAGGTCAGGGATAAAGTTATTGAGAAATTTAAAGCAGCCTTAGGCTACCAAAAGATTTCCCAAGCCTTGAACATCCCACGGAGCACTGTTCAAGCAATCATTCAGAAATGGAAGGAGTATGGCACAACTGTAAACCTACCAAGTCAAGGCCGTCCACCTAAACTCACAGGCCGAACAAGGAGAGCGCTGATCAGAAATGCAGCCAAGAGGCCCATGGTGACTCTGGACGAGCTGCAGAGATCTACAGCTCAGGTGGGGGAATCTGTCCATAGGACAACTATTAGTCGTGCACTGCACAAAGTTGGCCTTTATGGAAGAGTGGCAAGAAGAAAGACATTGTTAACAGAAAACCATAAGAAGTCCTGTTTGCAGTTTGCCACAAGCCATGTGGGGGACACAGCAAACATGTGAAGAAGCTGCTCTGGTCACATGAGACCAAAATGGAACTTTTTGGCCAAAATGCAAAACACTATGTGTGGCGGAAAACTAACACTGCACATCACTCTGAACACACCATCCCCACTGTCAAATATGGTGGTGGCAGCATCGTGCTCTGGGGGGGCTTCTCTTCAGCAGGGACAGGGAAGCTGGTCAGAGTTGATGGGAAGATGGATGGAGCCAAATACAGGACAATCTTGGAAGAAAACCTCTTGGAGTCTGCAAAAGACTTCAGACTGGGGCGGAGGTTCACCTTCCAGCAGGACAACGACCCTAAACATAAAGCCAGGGCAACAATGGAATGGTTTAAAACAAAACATATCCATGTGTTAGAACGGCCCAGTCAAAGTCCAGATCTAAGTCCAATCGAGAATCTGTGGCAAGATCTGAAAACTGAAAGAAATTTTGAGGACGTTCGCCTGGGCTCTCCCCAGAGGACCATTGCAGGCGGTTTTGTGGCAGGCGGGGGATCAGCTGTTCGCCTGGGCTAGTAGGCTGCACAATGCCACGATGAGATGGCTGCAGCCCGAGCCATCGGAGGGCGAGGCGTGGATGCTCTCACTGATTGTCCTGGAGCAGTTTGTGCAGGGGCTGCCCAGAGAGGCGACATGGTCCGCTGTTATCAGCCCTGGCTGAAGATCACCAACTGGTCAGTAGGCAACCGCCGGTAACTGCGCCGAGGAGGAGGCCCCCTGGCCCAGCCCCAGCGGAGCGACCTCCGCCCCTGCAGTCCTCAAATCTGTCCTAGCGAACCTGCCAACCCGGAGCCGAGCAACAACAGGCACCCGAGCCACAGCCGGGACACCTGCAACGGGAGTGTCCACTGATGGAGGTCAGGCGGGTGTTCTGGGCCCAACCAGACATATTAGTAAGGTGTCAAGGAGATATACACCAGACTTTGGTGGACATGGCCTGTACACAGGCCCTCGTGCATCAAAGCTTGGTTCACCCCAGAGCATTGTTGGAAGCAAAGTGCGGTTGTGTGCATGGGGGCATTCACAAATATCACACAATATTTTACAGTGCAGTAGCATGTAGTGTCTGCGCGGCATTCAGCAGTGACATGTACTTCTAGGGAGGATCCGCCGGCACCAGTGATTCACCCGAGGAGAGATTTCACACTGGAGCAGTCTTATGATGACTCATAACTCAGCCTTCAACCAAGTGATAGAAATTGATGGTCACCTGGTGTGCCCTGAAGCCGCGCAGCCTACCCACACTTTGTATTATTGAACAATAGGCTTCATCAAGTGAGTTGTGACACTCACACAGAGGAGGAGTACACCCAGTTGTTGGTGCTGAAAAGCCGTCGAGAAATTATTTTCCAGGCGGCTCATTTTAACCCCATTGCAGGGCATATGGGATATGATAAACCTCTGGAGCAAATAATAGCCCAATCTTATTGGCCAGGCCCGAGCAGATGTGCGCTGATGGTATGCGTCATGCAAGGAATGTTAGCTGGTTAACCAGCCAGCTATCGTAAAAGCACCTTTTTGCCCACTGCCAATAATGAAAGTGCCGTTTGAGCGCATGGACCTCATCAGGCCATTTCACCGAAGGGCACGTGGCTATCGCTTTGTATTAGTTATGGTGGATTATGCAAAGCAACCCCCGGAAGCAGTGATGCTGGGCACCATCTCTGCAAAGAGTGTTGCACAGGCGCTGTTCAGGGCATCTCTTGAGTTGGCAGCCCAAAAGAGATTCCTGACTGACCAGGGCAGGTCATTCATGTCTCACACACTTAAACAGCTGTACAAATTATTGGGCATGAAATCTAAACCAGGAGAGGAGAGAGATGAATTGGGGCCAGAGATGCCAAATTCAAACATTCCTGCCTCTCTCCATTGTAATAAACATGTCACACAGGGCCAGAGAGTGGATGTTGGTGTTTCCAACAGCGTTTTGCAGATGTGTTCTCACCTCTGCACGTCGTACTTCGCTCATAGAGAACCATTTTGCACAGGCATGCAAAGAGCGACCTGGCGTGGCGGTGTGTTTACAGCCCCACAGGTTACCTGAGCAAGAGGCAAATTGTCCAGAGAGAATTGCTGAAAACAGGAGTGATAGAAGAGTCAAACAGTGTGTGGTGTAGCCCCCTAGTTCCTGTGCTGAAGAAAGATGGGTCTGTATGGTTCTGTGTGGAATATCCTTATCCGATGCCCCAGGTCGATGAGCTCCTGGACCGGTTAGGCACTGCTCACTTTTTCACAACACTGGATTTTTACGTAGCTATCCCCACCAGGGATAAAAATAATATAGCAGATACAGGGATATATAGATCAAAAGTGGGTAGAGATAACACCCCCACAGCAAACCATGTTCTATTTGCACATTAACAAACAGCTATTGTTTCTGTCTTTCTGATAGAAATGTGACCAGTCAGGTGACGGTCGTCTCGATCACGGAGAGATTGAAGTTTTCTGCAGGGAGTTGTTACGGAGGCCAGAACTGGACATCATATTCATTCGCTACTCTGCAAATGGCTGTGTGCTTTCAGCTGTGGACCTGAGGGATTTCCTAAAGGACCAGGGGGA